GAGTTTTTTTGTTTTACACTTTTGTGGTAAATATTTAGTACATTTACAATACAAGGTAAGTTTATAACGGAGTATTAGGCCACATTGAGAAAATTACATTTTAAAAAATAAATAAAATTACGAGTTTAAGTTGAAATGTTATAAGAATATAAAATTAGAAGATGAAACTTTTTCGGAAAAATGTTGTGATGTTACAAATAAAACGTAATTTCGTGAGGAAAAAGGTCACAATATTATGGTTTGAGTGCTAATGCAAATATTATTATTTGGTTTGAGTGCTAATGCAAATATTATTTAATATAAACATAATATCTAAGGGAATCATCTTTCATACCACGTACCATTCAATATCTAAGAAAAGCTTTAATAGTCGTAATACTTGACGTGTAACTGTAGATGAAGCCAACAAAAAATAGTAAAAATGCATTTAACCAACAGTAAAAGGCAACTGCAGGCTTAGTATTCGATTAGGTATTGTGTACTTTTTGTATGTTGGAATGTTAGTTTGTTAAGCACATGACAATAGCCTTTAAGTGCTCTGGTGAAACCGGCGATGACAGAGATGCAGACAGACAGGGAAGCTGAAAGCTGTTATTAGACTAATGGCAAAGATGAATCAACAGAGTGTGAGTGTGTGTAGCATGAAGACTGAGTACACTGCTGTTGATACTTTTACTGTATGAAACCTGTCAGTCTCACCCTGAGAGACGAGGCATAAAAGCCTTTACTGCAGTGATGATGACAAAACACAAATGAACAATCACTTTCTCTCTTACTTTTTTTTATCTCCTCACCTGATAGTGAGTCATTCTGTTAGACAGAGACACATCACTGCGTGTACTCGTAGCTTCCTGCATTAGTCATCCATTGGTCCATATATGATTGTTATTACCTGAGTAATTATACAGACCACTTTAGGCTGGAGGCACCGTGCCGCTAATCAAACAAAATTAAACTATTAACTGGATTAATGGTACTGCTGGGTGACTGTTCTCCTCGTCAGGGAAAGTGCTGGATGTTTCTACCTTCAATGCATTTATTTGGCCCCCTGTGCACATTCCACATGATGAGGGGAGATTTATGAGCATGACAGCAAACACAAAAGCTAGAGGGGCAATGCTGACAGTAGGTGAGGGAGATAAAGAGAGATGTATACTGAATGTAAATAAGTCTCCTGTGCAAATATAAATGGAAGGAGCGTCCCCTCACAGCTACCTGGTGCAATTCTGATTGTTTACTGTATGTTTACTGCAATAAGAAAAACAATGAACCCTGAAACACTGCTCTGCCGTTCTTTACTCTATTAGTATTTCTTCTATATTAAAAAATGTCTTTGGTAAGTTGTTGTTTTTAATCTGTAGTTTTAAATTATTCAAGTGATATTATTAGGTGATATAGATAGAACTATAGATATGCTTGGTTTATTTATTTATTTGTTTATTTATTTGATATTGGAATGTTAAAATTAACCTGACAGTTAATAAATATAAATAAGTCTGGAATAAAATCAGGTGAAAACATACAGAGTGCCTGCTAGTATTTCTTTAACTAAAAACTTCAGTTGTGACAGTGATGGAGCCGCTGAGTGCTAAGGTGGTGTCACGTCAGAGGGGGAAAATATTGTCTATTAAAGACAACCCCTTAGCTATAATTCTACTCTTACCACCTTCAAGTAAACATCGCAGGACCGAGGCGTTCTTCTAAATCAGTCTGTCCAGCCTTGGTTCCTTTCTGTCTGTTGTTGAGATGGCACTGTCCCAGCAGACCACTCTAAGAAGATGGTGCATGTCATACCTTCATTAAAAATCTCAAGGAGTGACCCCTGATGAAGCGTTTATATCAGTGTGCGTCTTAGCAGACGGCACTTCAGGATCGCGGTGCTGAGTTATCAGTTAAAGCTGGTTAGGAGTTAGTCTGGGTCAAGTCTCTCTTCTGGGAAAGGCCTCGAACCTCTCTGGGGTACACAGAGTCAAAAACATCATTTAATTTAAAGTTGTTTTATTTAATGATTTATTTCAACATGTGTTACTTTGCTATGTTTGTGTAGCATTTTTAACTACAATAAATCCACGACTTACCTCAGAATTCACAAACAGTTTTTGTGTATTTTGTTTTTTATTGATTTCTGACTTTATCCACATAAGACTAAGCTCTGTCTATCACATAGTTGATGACAGCATCAACTACACTATCAGTCTGCTGATCCAAAATTCCTATACGAGGATCCTCACAGGTTGCAGGACCAATTTCCTGAAGATCTAACCAAGATCTGAGCTTACTGGAGACCACAGTACCGTCCCTTCCTTTGCACAGGGATCATGAAGGATGTTACAGATCTTTAAAATGATGTTCAGTCTTCCCTTGTGTTAAACTAAGGGGGGAGGTTATGAATATATTTTGTTTTGAGACAAATTGTGTCTGCGGATGGAACTGTGCTTGAAAATCCCAACAATAAAAATAAAAAAGGAGCATCAAGGCTCTCTGACTGCTTTCAAAATATTGACATGCTTTGATGATGCAGCATGATGCAGCATGTTTCAAATGTTGGTTTAGTACAAGTGCAGATCCTTTAACTCCTCAGTAAACATCGCAGAACTGTAGCTCAGGAAATAGATCCCCTTTTTGAACAAACACAGGTTAATCCTGTTTAAGCATTTAAACATCTTTAATGATAAAAATGTGCATAATTATTATTATTATTATCATTACCCATCTTCTTGTGAGGCTCACAGGTCACCTGTGGGTCTGTTCATCTCCTTTCATTTGTTACATGAATAGATATTAGCAGCTGTTTGATGTGCAGCTAACAAATTCCTCCCCTGTTTGAATATATTTGCATACGGGTGCTTCATCAAATAGGACTTACTTTTCCAGTTATTCCTCTGAATGTCACACTACTCCACAGCCTGCATTAGTTAAGATGTGATTGTCCATTGAGCCGGAATTGATTTGAGGCACGTTGCATCCGTCACAAATTACAAAGTGCCCATCGCTTTGAACAGAGGGGATAGATATTACAGTGAAGCCCATCACACGCCCCGTTGGAAATAATTAATCCAGAGTACAAGCTTTAGGAAACGGATAAATGTTGCAAAACAACTTTGTGCAGCGTGAACCTTTCGTCATGTCTGTTACCCTCATCATTACGACATGCCCACAGATGGCAGATGGCACTAGGGATGGGGGTTGACCCTCCCTCCCCCCGAGGAGTAATGATCCGTTTGTGACATGTTTGCGTTCTACGTTTGCGTACACATTGGATTGTGCTACATTGACTTTCTTGTGTTTGTGTTGTTTTTTGGGAACTTTTTGCCCTTCATTATGGCTCCCAGGTGTAAGTCAGACACTTCTGATGTTTTTATGTCCGATATTACACTCTCACCATTGTGTTAGCGTTGATAAGTGACATAGGAACTGATGTACAGTATGTGAGCGCCAACTTACGATGAAAATCCAATTACGTCACACCACAGGAACCAGTAGCTGTATTGATACACATGATTATTATTCTTCTGTTTTCTAGAGGGTAAATATGTTTGACTGCACTATAGGGAATTCCTAAAAATACGACTTCAGTCAATTAAAATGTGAATTTCTGTACAGCACAGATAATTATAATTTAGTTACTTAAATATGTTGTGTTTTTTTGTGCTACAGTTCCTACACACATATTTACATAAATCATATTTGGCATAAGGCATGCACTTTTGGTGGGAAATTCCTTTGGAGCGTGATTTGGAGAGTGATCCAGACCAATAACAGTTGCATCATGTCTGGCTAGTGTTGATCAGGTAGGCCTTCATTTAACAATGTTCATTATTGTTTATCCATTATTTCAAATAAAAATTCTCTATTGGCTTCTTAGCTCAGACCGTTGGCCCACAGGCTATTCCCAAATTAAGAAATGGAGCCTTATTTAAAATGACTCATTGAGTTGAAATAATTTGCTGACAGCTTGGTTCCCCCTCAGTTCACATAGCCCATCTGTGCCCCTGCTTGGTGGTGCATGTATGTGGTATGGCTGTTTTTCTGGATGTGAGTGGTTGCATAATTTAAAAAACAACTCAAAGATGTAGAATCTCTGTATGCACATATTCCTCCCCTTTTAAGTGTCCTATATTTGCGATCAGTTTCTCCAGAGTCTAGAGTGCCCTACAACGGGACAGAGTCAGGTGAGACGTAAAAAAATATTTATATTTGACTCTTATATGTCTGGAGAAAGAGAAATTGAGAGTAAAGATTCTGCCACTTCAGCAGTTTTACAGCGTTCCTGTTTTATTACGGTTCTCAGTGTAATTGGGTCACCTGCTCACTGACAGAACAAAAAAGTATATTTAAAAAGTGAGAGAGGGTGAGAAAAGTTTGAGCCATATTTTCAAATGGGTAAAAGAACAAACAGAAAACATTTGTTGATGTAACTAAGGAGCTCCAGCAGACGAGTAATGATGGGTGAACTTGAGGAGCTGAAGGAGAGACAGATAAATGTCAGACTGGGTTTAGACCTTAATGAAAATGGAAACATGGTTTGCATGCACCGCAGCGCACACTGACTGAAAGTAAACTAATGTAAGCATTGGGTGATTCAATCAGACTTTTAACATTAGAGCAGAGGTCGAGGTCATTGTTGCATTTAGCCCGTTTGGGTCGAGGATAATTGCTTTTCTGCAGACATAAACACAGACAGTGGTACACAAGCAAACACTCGGGGACTGGATGCTGTTTGAATGGATTATGCAAACTAGATGCAGAGTACATCAGGCTGTTGGAAGAGAGGGAGTCAAGTGTGAAGGTTGATACAGACTGATGCAGTATTGGTTATACAGGTTAATGCAGTACTGATTGGTGCTCAGGAAGGCGAGGGCAAGTGCAACGGCGATTTAGAGAGCGTGTGTGAATATTCAAAGCGGAAAAACTGCAAAAGTAAACGCTGATTCTTTCAAGACTCTGATTAAAAAAAAGATCTGCTGCTCTAATGATTTCTTTCTCTTCTCGCCCCTCAGGACAGTCCCCTTGTTCTTCAGTCTGACAGAAATGTCACTATCAATGCTCGAAATGATCAAGGACAGCTGACTGGTCAACTGACTGTGGGTAAGAAACTCTGAGCAACTAAATCTGTAGCAATGTAATAGACAGTTTCTTTCATATTTCAAATCAGTTTAAGATATAATGAGTTGTGATTTATTGCCTCAATACTTCTAATTTGGCTATGATTAAAAGGTGAAGGGTGAATCCCAAGGACTTCCTGAATCGTTGTAGGTTTTCTTTTTGGTGTTTGTTTTTAATCACTACTGACTGGATAATTCAAACTGTTCTGGAGCACGTGTATTTAGTCACTGATTATTACTGTATGATGGTGATGGTGGTAGGCACTTTGACGGTCAAGGCTTCACAAGGACGTTTCTCCTTTTATTCTTCTGTTGAAAAAGTCAAGGAGTCAAAAACATGAACAGAAACAGCTTCTAAACCATCAATATTTCAGGTGAACACAACTAGGGATGACTCGATACAACACTTCATGTCCGGTACCAAAACTGACAATGCAACTTGGAGTATCTGCCAATACCGATATCAATCCAATCCACCTTCTTTTCTCCTCCAACATGCTGTGCCTGTTTAGTTGAACATCTGGGCTTAGGTATTGGATTGGAAGGTCTATTGTTGTTTTTTACGACATCGATCTTGAAATTTTGCCCAATATTGACCGAATCCAATCCTGCGTACTGGATGAAGTCATCCCTAGTTGTGTTCACCTGAAATATCGTTGGTTTTAGTGCCTTTGTTGGTGGCCTCTCCTCTTATTGGCCTGAACACAGATACTGGTGTTTACAGTTCCACCCCAAATATACTGGAATTCTACTCACGCTCCAGACTAAATCAGCTATGTCTGTTTGATCAACAGACACCCAAAAGACTAGGAGTAACTGATGAAGAAATGTATCGGTGAATTGACTTCTTTTACACCAAAGAATACATACATATGTCTAGAATCCCTTTTAACCAAATGAAGACTAGACCAAAGCCTCATCTATGTGCAATGCGTTTGAGTCCCAGAACATCCCTCATTTTTCACCGAGACGCTGACAATGTAAAGACAATAGAAATATGGCAGCAACAGTTATGAGTTCACAAAAGCCTGTCTTTTTGACAGAGCTTCTGTCGAAGTCTCCTCAAGCAGTTCAAGATTTAAACAGAGAGTGGAATGTAATAACTTACAAACAAGTCAGTCAGAAAAAGGCCTATTCACTGGGAGCACATGAAGTGTGGCTCTACTATATGCAATTTCTTGCAATATATATGCAATAAAAAAACCTCAAAATATATGATGAGTTTCATCATATATATATATATATATATATAATATATACTATATATATACATATATATATATGTATATATATAGTATATATTATATATATATATATATATATATGTATATATATATATATACTATATACTCTATATACATACATATATAAGTATGTATATATAAATATATATGTACATATAATGCATGCAATTGTAACAGTTCAAATATATGTGCATATATACATACATACATATATTTAAAATGTTACAATTTCATCAAATTTTGCCAACCTCAGAATGTTACATGGGAAAAAAACAACATTTTTATAGAGGCATTCAAATCCAATGACAGCTGGACGGCCCTTTCAGAGTGAAGGCTCCTCTATTCTGCTTCATCAATGGAAATGCATCAAATAGACTTTCGTCTTAAGTAGGTTAGCCAGGCACATCCGGCATCTTTCTATGCACAACCCAGTTGAAATTGCTGACAGTTTTCCTCCTGCTGTTACACTTCCCTAAAGCGGCTTTTTGATGATGAAAAGTCACTTAAATGCTTATGTGGTTCTGACTGAGTATATCTATCGGCCTTCCTGTTCTGCAGTCAGCAGAATGAGTCTGTGCTAAATCTGGATGACCAGGAAGCCGTGTGCAGTCAGTTTTGTAAGGATGCTCCAGGACGTCCTCACCCCTGCAGTCACATGTGAACCTGCATGTTTACTCCTCTTCAAAACATAGGAGGCACTCTTTTGTCTGAGGGGAAAGCATAGAAATCTGCTGGCACAAGATCACAGAAAATACTAGATGGGGATAAATAATTTAAGAAAAAAATGGTTGAGATTTTGAGTGTTCACATTCTGGTATTATTTTAAAATTGTGTATAAAATGGTCCAATCTGTTTGGTTATCTCTTACTATTTAGACATCAGCCACTAAGAATAAATATACCATATCATACAATAGTGCAGCATACAGTACTTACAACACGTGGCACACATTTTAGTTTTTGCTTTTCCTTTGGGACAAAAACTGTCTTCTGTGTCCAACTACCTTCTACCTTGAGAACTCCAACCTGTTTGCTCCAGCAGCTACAGGTTGTATTTGCCATTCGCCACCACTGCTAATCTATTACTGTTCTATTATTTTCTCAGTGGAATTAGTGCAGGAACAGAAACCTGCGGTGTTATCACACACTATGCACATCAAACATAGCTTAGCAAATGCTTAATTATTTATCCCATCTAAATGTTACACCATGTGGGCCATCATTTATTTAAATGTTATACTGAACCTTCCTCAAGATGTTATGCCATACAGAACATTTAAAGCATAATGGGGTTCAAGGCTCAGGTGAACTGTGGGCTTCAGCTCCTGTCTTTGAGTTTGCCATGGAGTTACAGTACCTTGACATTCTAAATACATTAACTGCATGGACAGACGGGTTCTTCCTGCTTCTCTGGGACATCAGACTTTTAATTTGATTTCCCTGGGGAGTCCGGTTGGTGCAGTGGGAAAACTGCATTGACCCTTAATCACTGAAGGTGGGACATTGATTAATAATCTATATGAGGTTGTTTTTATACAGCTGTGAGGGTAGCTGCTGTTAGTGTTGCACATGACTGTAGAGTTTTTTTCTTTGTCTTTTGAATGATGACAATTCTCTGATGAATTTACCAACTCCAACTAATTCTACCATTTTTCTTAGACACGATTCTGAAAAAGAACTAAAAACCGGTCTGATATTTGAGTTTTCTCAGTCTTTTGTGTTTCTGTTGTTTTGTTCTTTAGAAAGTCAAATGAGTTAGTCTGTTTTTTTTTTTACTTCTTGTGTCATCAAACAAAATATAAGACTATTAAAGACATCTGCAGAGTCAGTACCATCAAGGTCCTCTGTGCTGGCCTCAACAGTATCAAAAAAAAGTTGTTGTTATGATAAGGATTTGTTCAGGCAGGATGCCACTGAAGGTCAAGGTGACAGGTATATATACTCTATGCAGGATGCCACTGAAGGTCAAGGTGACAAGTATATATACTTATATATAATTACTAACCCAAGAGTAGATGGAGTTGGTAATCGTAATGCATCTGCATATCACAATTTTATAAAATAATGTTTTCTTTATTCTTTATTTACCTTTTTTCCTCTGTCACAGAGATTTATGGTAACACACCTGACAGATGTGAGCACAGGTGATCGTGCTGATATTAAACAAAAACAAAAAAAGTAGAAAAAAGTGTTGTTTATGAGAAAGGGAATTTAAAACAGTTTTTTGCATCGTTGGAGTCAGAGACATGAATAATGCAGAGTGGCAAAGTTCAAAGTCTGCCCCAAGGTCACAGCGGTGACTCACTTCATTCCTTTAGGCATGCTTCCAAAGCAAACATTCATTACTTTGTGTTTTTGCAATAAAATAGATGGACCAAGATTCTAGAACTGCATTAAATTTTAAAACCTATTGTAGCTCTTTGGGCAAGGTTTTCATTTTGGCCAGTTAGATGATGCTGATCCTGTGTAAAAAAAGTTGTATTGAAGGGAAATAATAATAATGTAAATAAAGTGTTACTGAAGGAAGAGAATTTCAAAGCAATTTTCAAATGTAATATTTTATTTCTTACTCCACTTGGTAAGAAAAAAATGTTCTTGTGCCAACGAGAAGTTTACTGGTATGCTGGTTAAATTCCCAGTCTTTCTTTATGGAATTTGCTTATCTCCAAAGATAAAATACAAAACAACAACATTTGTTTTGGACACTTACACAGTAAATGAAAAGGAATAATAGTCCAAGATAAAAAAGAAATATATCATGAAATTTACAAATTAAAGTTAAATTTATTGTTGTTTTTTTTTTATAACCGTTGTTGCATCTGAGATTTGTACCTTTGAGCATCTAATATTAAACCTGTTTATCACAACTGCTTTAATTTAGTATTTAAACTGTGAGCTGAACACTTCCTAAAAGCTGGAAGCTCTTGCAGGTGATGTCTTTTTAGTAAATATGAAATGCCTGTTAGTTAAATGTGGCAATTAAAGCTCATTCACTTGTAATTAAATGGGAAATTATTACCTCATTGCTCTTGCACTTGGAAACACTTGCACTTACACTTTCTGGGAATTCAGGTTATGAATATGAGCGAGTCGTTGCTAAGAGACGATGTGCTTCCATTTGGGTGTAATTTGAAATTGTATAATACAGCACTTTTTACCCCAAACTCTACACACACACATCTATTTATATGTTCACACATTCACACCGGGGCATGCACAAAATTCCAACATATTTATTCAAATAGCTAAATTATCTTCACACTGACAAGTCCATTGTTTTAAGATGTTCAAATAAAGAGGTGTCCACACTAAAAAAAAGAAAAAAAAATCTATTCAGCAACACCTGGCAATCAGAAGAGTTTTGCCTTGCACACGTTTTATAATCAGGCATACACACATGCTCACGCACACGCGTCTCCCTGCCGGCTGTTGTTGACCAAAAAACTGTGGGCACCTCTGCTCCACTGCTCCCACCCCAGCACCCGATCCCATACAGATACACACACATTTTTTGTTCAGTTTTGCTGAGTGATAAAAATCTGAGCAGAAGTTGATGGAGTGCCGTGGTGAAATGGGACTCCACCCTCTCACTGCTCCAGCATCACAGTCAGGTTCTATTTTTACATAGTAAAATAAACATTGCTTCATGAACTCTTTCTAACTCTCTCAAACCCTTTATCCTTTCACTGGTAGTGTTCAGTGTTCAGTAATTGTTTACTGCAGTTCCCAGTCATTTTCACCAGATCGTACTGGTCACTTTGAGACGATTAAGACCCAATTGCAAAGGTCTACAAGGCAGTGAAGTTCTATTCTTATGTTTGGTACTGAGGGGTATTCAGGAATGAGGTGAAGGTTTCAATATGACGGGAAAATCACTGAATCAGTTAATACTGTTGAAGGTCACACCACTGCTACAGACGTGGGAGAGTCTTATACAGTTTCACTGAGGTTTGGATCAACTCGAAGAATGGCTTAGATGTTGTGACAATGTAATATTCTGAACCAATCAAATTCAATTCCAGTTTCTGATCGTAAGCCTGACTTGTATTTGTGCAAAACAGAAATACAGGTCCAGTAGTGATAACATTATCATCAAGCTCCAAGACGACTATTGTAGAGTCAGGCTGCCTATCGTTAATGTAGCCCAGAAGCTAAATACTTCACCAAGTGGAGCGAGTTGTTAAACAATCAGAGAATGTCCTGATGTTGAAGTCAGCGTGAGCTGCTACCTAATGATACTTCACTGCATCCACCTCAGCCTGATGATGAAAGTTAATACCAGAAACGATCTCTAATATCTCTTCTGCTCTGTCTATACCAGTTAAATTGAGTTAAATTTTTACTCTAATTCCATTTGAAATATTTCCTCACAAACCCTGATGGAGATATTGATGATATTTAAACAGAATACAAGATAAAAAAAGGACGTGTAGAATAAGGGATTTTCAATATTATCGGCCTATATTAGCATAGTTATGTAATGTTTGGTAAGAATTGTTATTGATTTGTAGATCTTCTAAGGCAGTGGTTCTCAAACTTTTTCTACTCTGTACCACCTGAGAAACCATTGATCTCTCTGAGTACCACCATGATGACCAACATACAGCAGCAGAGGCCTTCACTGTTAGCTTCCACCACAGGAGAGACGTTTAGAAATGTTTAGAAAGACGATTATGTTGTATTAATTCTGCATGGTATGTTTCAGTCATTGAATTCTTTCAAGTCATTGAAAATGTAAATTTGAATGTATGAATTTTCCCCACTACCTCTAGAGAGCGCTCGCGTACCACTGGTGCTCCGTGTACCACAGTTTGAAAACACTGTTCTAAGGAATAGGGCAGTCCCATCCCATGGCACAGCAGACAACAGGCTACTGTGAAACATTCACATCCATCCATTTGTTTGGAGCAAAGTACTTTGTCATCTTGGCTGCTTCTATCTATCACTGTACTCTTTCCTGAACATTTTACTGCAGCTCATGCAGAACATGAGCCTAACACTGTAGCTATTGAATGGATCACACTGTATATTTATAATAGATTAAAAGTATTTAAACCAAAGATCAGGAAAATCTCTGTGAAGTTATGCCACTATAACAAAGGTCGGGGTTTAACAACTTTTTAGTGAAAAGCCTTTATTTCCAGAACTGTGACTTAGTAAAAAGCCATTTAGATTTAATGATAAAAAATACTTAACATTGTCTGAGAAATTTAATTAAAAATTGATGTTCTGGTCTTGACAGACTCCACTTGTCTTTCAACTATCATAATTTTTTTTTCTTTTTCTTTTTTTTACAAATGAGAGTTTCCTTCATCTTTTAACTTTAGCGATATTAGGGAGTTTCTCGGTTGAACAAGTGTCTGAGTGTGGTGAAGAATCGCCACAAAGCACATAGGAGCAGTTTTTAATTAAAATTTCACCTTGAACTGTGTGAGAAAACCAACCATGCATACGGTGAACTCAGACAGAATCTCTGCGGCTCTTATTCCTCACTGCTTTTTCGGTGTTTTCTGCATCATGTTCATTCATTGCCAGGAGCCCCAATTTGAAGCCATGAATTAAAAAACCCTTATTGCAAGCCCATATAACTTTACTATGGCCTCAATGCTTCATTTTGCAGCAGTAATAAAAGCAGCACGAGCACCATTTTAATGACCTTTAGTGGCTAATCACAGAATACAAATTGGGAAATCAGAGTTCCTCTGAAGTACTTGAAAAGGGTAAAATATGTTGGTTCATGTTTTTGCTTTGATACTCCATGCATCAGGACTTTCATGCACGAGACTCGATCTTCCTAAAGACATACTTGACTGATAATTGGCTCACAGCCAAATCCATATTTTAGAAGTTCCTTTGTGCTTTTTCATCTCTAAAACTCTAATGAGCCGGGGGCCACTGTTGGCCCTGCCTGCTCATAGAAGGGCCTGAAACTAACAGTGTGTGGTGAGGTTGTAGTAATACAACTGACATGTGATTGTGGGCCACATGTGACTGGTTTGTGGCCCGTATGTCAGGGATTTGAGATCCCTGCTCTATTTTAATTACTCAAATTCAAATATATATAATTTATTTTGAAAATTGTGTATTTTATTATCAAGAACCTGTCCTTTTTGCCATTTAAAAACTATTTTTGTGTTTTTTTCTTTTCCTCCTAGGCGGTGTTAGAGATTACAGACACATTAATTAAAATTTAGATTTCTCATTGCTGTGTATTTCCAAATAGACAATCATGTTAATATTTAAGTGCTACGTATTATTGAAGTAGTCATAGGAAAAGTGTTGTGTTTGGTCTCAGGTACACACACACACACACTCCAAACAAAGGAGGCGCTCTAATTGTGTTATCTTTTTAAACAACACGGGTTTTTAAAAATAATTTTAACCACTTCTGACTTCTGACCCTGAAACATATGGAGTTATATTATAAGAACCCTGATCAATTTAGTGTATTTCCCATTTGGTGACTAAGTCTCTTGGGGTTTCCTGTCCCACTAGTGAGGTAAATGAAAAAACCACCAGGTGGAGTGTTTGATCCCAAAGGATTTACACCCACCAAGCAAAGGATACACCTGCGAGAAGTTATTTAAAAAAGGAGATAAGTTCATAAGTGCCTTTTTCATTACTGTGTGTGTTACGATGTAAAACCTGAAAATTCAAAAACATTTATCATCGAGGTTGTTTGGTTTGGATTGGAAAAATTGCTGCTCAGTTTGTTATGAGGTCGTTTATAAATTATATAGTCTTTATATAATACATATAACACAATTAGGTAAAAATAATCTATTTAAATATGATGTCAAGTTTAGTATTTGTTCAATTTCATAATCAGTACTTCTGTCCTGGTTGGTTTGAGTCATATTTGATATTATTCTCCATCACCGTACACTATTGTACACAGCCCAGCCACTGGTTACTACACAAACACTATGAACGGTTTATTAATGAACACATGGTTACGACCTCACAGTCGTTCACTTACTTCTTGCCAGCGAATCTAACGCTGTGGTCAGACAGTAGACAGAGGCGCGACAGCCTACATTCTGACATCTGGCCCAACCAGTCGTCACAACTGACAAGATGACATTTGAAGAGAGAGGCTGAGCAAAGGGTTGGGGTCAGAGAGACTGAAAACAAACAACTGCTTCCATAGGTGTGAAGGTGTGTGACAGAGTGTCATGTTTGGAGAAGTCAAACAGATACCTCTGTGACTGTGTACTCTGTAGCAGCGCTGTTGTACTGTCATTTTGTTTGTCACACTTGATGCCATGTAGACTCTATATTAATCCCTCTAGAGAAACGGCATTCTGTACTTAACCCATCTGTGAACCCAGTGATTTACTGCTGGACACGTAGGAGCAGTGGTTACTCTTTGGTGATGTGCCCCTGTAAAGGCTGGGGTTTTGAACGACATCCACCTAAAATAGGCCACATCACTTTACCACGGGGCCACCAGCTGATCCAAACTTTGGTTATAATGTGTGCACATATGTAATACATGTGTGGGATACATCCCACGTGTGGCTTCAGATATTAAAAATGGTTAGCTTCTGCACTGTGTTGAGCTCTTATCCTGATCTAGTGCTGGTTTCTTTTGTTCCACCCTTGTATTTGAAACACGTTGACTGCTGAGGTTGCACAGACACAAAGAATAATGGACGTATGAGGGAAGGAGCAAATTTGGGAGTAGATAGCTAGAAGCAAACTTTAATGATGGCTGACAAAGCATTCTGCTGTAGGTGTGGATCTGACACGACAGCCAACAACAAGGCTGTGGATATATGTGGAAAACTTCTTCAAAACGTCTTCAACTGCTTTGACATTTTTCAAGGAAATCAGGATGATTAGCTGTTAATTTGAAACAAATCTTTTTTGCATCCGACATATATAGAATTATCAGTGTCTGATCCCTAAACCAAACTAATACAACTAGATAACGTGGATGTGCTTCACATTACAACTGTTACAACTGCTGCCAAACAGCTGCCCATTAAATCAAAGGCAGATTCTACAGTGGCCCAAGTTAAAAATCACCTAGTGGCCATTCAGATGCAGCAGTCACAAATTGTTCTAACATTTACCCGGTGTGCTCTGAGGTTACAGTACTTCTCTCCATCCTACCTCTCTCTTCAGGTTCTGAGACGGTGGAGGCTCAGTGTCAGAGGTTTGAAGTGCGAAGCGCAGATGGAGAGAGAGTTCTTTTCTCTGCAGATGAAGAGGAGATCAGCATCGGCACTGAGAAACTGAGAGTCACAGGTGAGGGCACGTGGAAATGCTCACGTCTGAGCTCGACAGCATAACTGTCATTGACCGGATCATTTACATTCATTACAGTGTTTATTCACAGATTTTTTTCCCACTAAATTTCAATCTATTATTTCATTTGTTTTGTGTGTGGGTTTTGTTTGGAAACAAAAATGTATTTACAGACAGTCACAACTTGAACTTTTGATACTTTGGTGCAGAAAGAGTGAACACAGTACTCGCTCACATAACCTCCCTCTGTAATTGGTCAGATATTTCTGCTCGAGCACTCGGGGTGTGTGGGAAGAGAGTTGATGGGAGAGGTCCAAAGGTGATTGTTGCTATTATGTACTTTTTTATAAAAAAGTGAAAAACAGATGCTAAACAGTAAAAAAAATAGAAATATGAATCATATCATATTCAGCTGACAAAGGGCAACGATATGAAATTGACTTTTTTTCTGACATTAAAACCCAGAGTTAACACGAGCTCAGTGATAAGAATAAAATGGTTGTTTATGTGACAAAGGTTGGATAAGAGTAGAGGAGATCACTGTTATGATGCCTGGATGTCCGTCACACAGTAATACATGTACATGTCAGGTATTCACATTGTATTTTAACAGTGTACTTTAACCCTTTCAGGGACTGAAGGTGTGGTGTTCAGCCATTCTGTAGAGACTTCACATGTCAGAGCAGAGCCCTTCCAAGACCTTAAGTAAGTGTCGTCAGTCCTAGATCCTTCCTTTGGTTGTGTGTGCCTGTGTGTGTGTGTGTGTGTGTGTGTGTGCAGGGAGAGGCAGAACTCCTGCTAATTGGTTCTGCTCCTGGTTCCTTTCAATTCTAGTTGTTATGTATCTCTTTTTGTGTGTGTGTTTGAGTGGATGTTTTTAGTGTTCAGCGTGGTGATCCCTCAGGTAAGGATTCAGTGAAAATGTGCCGTCCTGTGACGTGGCTTACTCAGCCGTGTGATCCAGCGTGTTCATGATTTGTAATCAGCTGCGTGTGAAAAGATGTGATTGACAGCCTGACAGGCCAAACTCAGGGAATGGAATCACATCAGGAGGCTGTGCACTTGACTGGTAGCTACTTAGACATGCACTCAAATGTAAACAGTAGACAGAGCTTCAGGTTTTTTGGGAATGTATTATGGTGAAATGTTTGTATTCATTATCTTTGCAGTTCCAAACAACGGCTGGAGGAAATATTTCGCTTCTGTTAGTTCTATAACCTGCCTTCAGTGGAGTTCTGACCTAACTACTGAATACTTATTTTAACAAAGACACTATTGACTTCAACATATACAGTATATTGGACAGTACAGAGGTTAAACGTGTTTATCAGTAGTGTTACATTTCATGGGTTTTATTTCATATAAAATAAGTAGTTATAAATACACAACAAATTAATTTAATTAAAATGGATTATTAAAATATTAGGGAATTTGATTCATATAAATTACTTTCAATGTAATAAACAGGAAAACACTTGTCACGTGTCATAAGTGAAGCTTTCTTTGTCCTTTCATTAATCTTTCCTTTCCTTGTGCTCCCTTCCTTCCTTCCCTCTCTCCTTTCCTTCACCTTTCTTTATTCCTTCCTGACTTCTCAGTTCCTCCTTCTCACCCTTCTTTACATTTCTTTCTGCTTTCTGCCCTTCATTTCTCACTTCATCCTTTCTTCCTTCTTTCATTTCTCTCTTACCTCTTTTCTCCCTTCATTCCTTCCCTTTCTTCTTTTACCATTTTACATCCCTTCTTTCTTCCTTACTGTGGTCCTTCCTTCCTTCCTTATTCCCTTCCTTCCTACCCTCACCACTCCCTTGTGCTTTATCAGTTGCACCAAATGTTGGAGCTGTAATTACTCTAACATGGATTTTAATGTTTTCTTCTGGTATAAAAGCACAACATATTAATGAACAAATAACTAAATACATTTTCTAATTAAAAATTGAAATAAGTAAATAAATGAGTGGCCAAGGATTAGACTTATAACATAAGCCTGCAGAGGCTGATGAAATGTTGCACCATAGCAGCTCAGCCTGCTGCTGTTTCAGGCTATGTGGTACCTGTCAGTCACTGTTTATCTTTTTCTCATTCTTTCTGCTGAAGTGTGCTTTTGGAAGTCCTTCAGGGCTATATGAAGTTTCTTAATTACTAATGCCTCAGCTTCATTTTGATATTGTCAGACAGGATTAGGCTAGAGTGGCTTTAAGCCAAAAGGAGAAAAAAAACATTAACACAAAGGCAGGAAAGAGAAAAGGATGTGGGAAAAAAGGTGGATGACAACAATGCAAAATGTTGAAGTGGAAGGTTCACTGTAATTATTGAACAAAGAAAGAAACTACAAAAAATAAAGGAAAGACTATTGTTTGGAAGGAGGGAACAGATCAGTCTCAGAACAGGAAGTCTGAAATTGCATAAGGTTTTAAGGCAAAATAATGCAATATACCTTGATATTTTCCGGCTCCTAATCATTCAATCTATTTTCCCATCCATAGCAAGAAATTATAATTATCATAGCAAGCACTAGAAACACTGTATATCACAGCTATTCTTTTCTAGCTAGTTAGACTAGCAAACAATAACATCATTTCATTTATATACCAACAAATGATGAAGAGGGAGAGAATATAGTAAATGTATACACTCAGCCTCTAGGAACCGCCCCCACCCTTTTTCTGTTTCATTATGAAAACTAGAGCAGTGCGCAGTAAAGGTAAATGGGACATGTAATGAGCATATTGAGGTCTTTTTAAAGCTAATGATCTATCTTACAGTTTTGCGGTGAAAAAGGTGTTGAAGAAAGGAGAGACCAAGAAAGATAGCTCATACAAATATTAGACAGTTAGATTCAGGTTCATCCTTGGGCCCACTCCGTCGCTCTCTATCAATCAATCAAACCATCAATTTACTGAAGCCAAAAACCTAAAGGTTTAAAAGTAAAGGCAGCCAAACTTTAGTAAAATGGGACGACAGTCACTCTTTGGAAAGTGACGATGTAACTTAAAATGTATACACACAGAAACTATCAATGCAGCATTTCTCAACTTTGGGGGCGCAACCCCAAGTCTAGTCATTGATTCTTTTTTTTTAAATTATTGATAACAAATGTTTTTTCAACTAATTATTTTCCTTTTTAAAAGTATGAAACAACTATTCTTTTACTTTCATAAAAAAGTGCCCCTGGAGTCACCAGAAAGTTGTGATGTCAAATAGGATCACAAGGTTTGTAAAGGTTTTGTAACCACTGCAGCAATGTAAAATTAAAACTATGAAACCAGTTAAATGGGGAATAGGACACATAGGACCTGATCAAACTGCTTTGCTGTCTTAGAGAACACTCCAGAACCTTTTCAAGTACTTAATGGCACCCCCTGTGGCCGCTTGTGCCGGTTGCCACGACTCACACAGTACTAATAAGGGTCCTTATTAATCTTATTATTATTATTATGATTAGTAGTAGTAGTAGTAGTAGTAGTAGTAGTAGTAGCTAAAGCAGGGGTGCGGCAGGACCAGAACAATCATTACATAATTGCATATAAATAGCAAGTTTTAGCCAGTTTTGATCCGCGAGCCATATGTTTGCCATCCCTTATCTAAAGCATCAGTTGAGACATGTAACTGATTAAAAAAGAGAAAAACAAACACCAAGGCAAAATCATCAAGGTGATAGAACAGTTAGGTCCCGTCATAAAAGCGTATTTTTACTACTGAAAAATGTGTGTAATATTCCTCATAACAAAAACAACAATGCGAATGCCGGCCTGGGTAAACAAGACACGATTCTGCTTCCAAGGATGGTACAGTTTAATGGACAATAAAATTAAAGAAAACAATATTTGCTTTAACGGCACATAACAGTGGGAGTGTTTTATGTCCGTGGGAATAATTAAGTGATAGCTATTTCCTTAAGGACATCGTTTATTTCCTCAGTCGACGTAGTAGTGAAAAACTCACTGCTCATTTAAAAACAGCGTGTAATGACTGGACACAAGCTGAGGACCTGAATGCACAACACGCAGTAACCTTCAGTGATGACTTTAAAAACTTCAGAACAGGAGCAGCTCAAAGTTGCTGTTCAGATACAGACGTGGGTACAAAAAACTGTCCAAAAGTTAAAGTTGTACCACACTGTTGGGCCAGAGATGACAGAAATCAAAGTCAAGAAAGAACACTCGGGAAAATGTTAGTGTAAGAAGACAAACTGACAGAGGAAAACACACGAGAGGGAGTGGGGGGTGGGGGGGGTGAAGGTAATAAGATGCTGGTGACATGACTAGAGGAGCAGGTAATCATGGGAGCAGGGAACACTGAAGAGCAGGGGTAGACAACAACAGTGGTGGAAAACAACAAACAGGAGGAAGGTGTTAACCTTGACATCAGACAAGAGGTGAGGAACACAATGACAGAAAAACAAGAGAAAATGGTGAAGAGTTGAAAAACCATAACAAAGGAAAATAATGGAAAAGAGTTTTTGACATATAAAGATTTTTTTTACATATTTTTGTTAGTGTCCGATAACGTCAACATGTCAAAGACCAAAACTGTAGTCCCAAAATTGATATATATATATATGTAGTATGTAGAGCGATAGATAGATAGAGAGAGCTATACTAACATTGTGACTTACACGGCTTGACAACAAATGTTATTATAGCGGTTAAACAGCTAATGTCTCAGTGTGAAGTGAACGAATAGAATAAAAACATATTTATTGTTATTCTCCTACAACAGCTCATTCAGTTACTTTTTAACAAAAGTTAATCTAAAATACATTGCGATACACCAGATAAACCAGATATAAACTTAGATCCCATAATTTAAGGACTGTGGTTAATGCTTGAATTGCATTAACAAAGAAGATTTAAAATGGATTTAATTATATGACCTTAGAAAAAAAACTGTATTTATATTTAAATGATGCGCTTGGTGGAGTCTACCGGGGAAAACACTTGTTTCATTTGGCAGGTGAAATCTGATGATGAAGCACGAACAGATCAGGGTCCACAGCAGAGGGAAGGATATGTTCCACAGTCAATATTTCCAATTACAGCCATTCTTTCATCCTCTTATCTACCCCTCGGTGCCGCCTTCCTCTGTCCTGGGGTCGTGAGAAGGTTCTGGAACATCCAAAAAAGATTTGTTCAGAGCACCTTTCCCTTTTCATGGATCTCATTTCATATATTTATTCCGATGTGATGTTCAGTGGCATGGGAAAAACAGGTTTTAATATATAAAACGGAACTTGGTAAAGTGATTAAAAAATACTGCACTAAGTTGAGTTGATACAGTCACAGCGGTGGTATCTGTGTCTGTATTGAACTTTAAGCATATTCATATGCAGTGTAAGGCAACGTTAGTGAAAAAATATAGAATCATATCACGGGCCAGCGTCCAGGTCTTAGAGAGACCAACTCAATCTATGGACCATTCAGGCTGACTACTTCTGTGACAGATGATCACGTTTTTATGCATTTTTTAAGTTGGAGACAAATGTTTCAGTTTCTCTTTACCAATCAGCTCGGTCATCTTCTTGAAAAATAATTAAAATATTCCAAAAAGCATCACATATATCAAATGTAATTATGTGGATAACTCACTGTTCTCACTCACTGAAAGGCCCATTTAATTCTGTGAATTCTAATACATTTAAACTGTTTAAATCTTTACATATCTAATGTAATTCCTGGTCTGTTTGTTTTAGTGCTCTCATTTGTTACAGATCCAGCAAAGTGCAAAGCAGTTGTTTTGGGCTGACAGAATGAAATAAAAATGTGTTATACATTTACTCAGTACCAAGTCTCTAAATGACGAGAGCATTAAAGTGACGCATGACTTAATAACCCCTGGTTCTTAAGATACTTTCAGTTCAACTCCATTACAGATTGTAAACTTTTATTATTCTCTACAGTAAAGAGTGTGGAACCAGCAGCTTAAATGTTCAGTTTTTATTGATCTGCTGCTTTGGTATAAAACTGTTTTCAAACCCAAATAAATTCATCTCATTAATAATATTTCTGTTATTTGTTCAGTTAGTTATCCATAATGGAACTGATGGCCAGTGACATACTCACTGTCTGATACAGTACTAGAATCAAAAACTAGAATACACCTTAACTGTATCATTCATGCTGAGTATTTTACTGGAACTTAAATAAAAAAAGCAATTTCCTTCAACCAACTCTTCATGCAGTTGAAACATGTACCAAAGAAAATGGCGTCTTATTTAAAAAAGAGTCTTAAGTGAAGCCATCTATTCTCCTTCAGTAGAACAGTCTGATTGGCTACTTTCAAAATCATTCTTCATTTCTGTAAACCTTGAACCAATCCTTTTTAAAGGCTGGTTTTAGATTTCCTACTGCCAGGTGTTTTTATTTCCTCAAGTATCAAATCTAATTTTTTATGCATTTTTGCACTTTTCTGAGCAGCACAGCTAAAGAGAAAAACATGTCAAAATCTGCCATTAATCAGAAGGATGAGAACCACGTTTGCACAACGGCCTCACTCACAATTTACACTCCTGCAATTTGCAGATTGGATTTTTGGATGTATCCGATGCCGTCTTCTTCGCTGGTTCCACAAGGACAATCAGCCTTGTCTTGCTTTGTTGTTTCTTTTATTGATTGGAAACGCAAGGGAATGAATCGGAAAGAGAGAGGGAGAGAGAGAGAGGGAGGGAGTGAGGGAGTGAGGGAAGGGAGCCAACCACTGGTATGGGAACAATCCATAGTGTATCTGAATGTGACCTTGTGTGTATTTGTATTGATGTGAAATGTTTACAAGATGTTGACATTTGGTGATGGGTGTCATTTATTTTTGTAGCCAACCTGGTGCTAACACGAGCTGTTGATCAATCCATGAACTTTTGATTATTATTTACAGCCTGATATTAGGATCTGTGTCAGCACGATCGGTTTTCACGATCATCTGTACTGATCGATTGTACAGTACAGATGGCTCAATTCAACTTTGATGTCCGATACCAAAAGTGTATGTGCCAAAAGCGATATCAATCCAATACTTTCTTTTCCCCTTCAGCATTGGACAAAATTAAGTTGATCATTTGGTTTGGACGGGTTATTATTTTTAAAAATGTTTCATTTTTACACATATCCCAAATCATAAATATACCTTGACTCTCCTTCCCAACTTGAAAAGTGTGTAAGGACTTTTATAACCTGCTCTTCATTTTTTATTTTACACCTGAAGTATTCATGCTGCAATTTAAGCACAATGAGTAGCTGAACACAGAAATGTTTTATTTTAACTCCTGTCCTGTGGTTACTTTCTAAAAGTCAGCTTCTTTGCAGTTTTTCTCTGAATGCTCCACAGCGCTCCACATTGTAAAAGCCGTAACAAACAGAAGGTTGAGTTGCAGTAGCAGAGCAGGTACTGGGCCCAGTCATAACGTCAATATAAAGAGGAAAAAGACAAGAGCAACGTCAGCCAATTAGTTAAAACCTGGGGTCGTTGGGTGATCCGACCCCAAGGTTGTGTCCATAAAACACCCTCTACCACATGTCACCTTTTTGTTAGCTGGAGTGATCAGGAGGTTCTCTCTTCAGTTTTCCAGGATGTTTTGTCTGGCTCTTTGCAAGCTCTTATGGGCCATATAGTGAAGAGTGGTAAGATCATCAAGGGTAAACCTTCCTCTCTCCTTGACCTTTCTGAAGCTGGCCGTTGTGTGACCCCATCTCTTGCCTTAGCTTAGTAATCTTGGCTTTCAGCTCTACACCCTCACCTATCAGTGGGGTTTTCATAGTAGGGCGTTGATACTTTCACAGCCTCTTTGACTGTCACATGCCATATTGACTCTTTATTATTGTTGAAATGGCTTAGCTGCTAAGGGGAGATTTATTGCTTTGAAGTGAGGCAGTAATGACATCCAATATTTTCACGTCCACTAATCTGACAATAAAGTCGAGGGCGAGTCGATGAGTTGACGGTTGACAGTGGGAGAACGGCAGCGTAACTCTCCACACATTACCTTCATAGCTTTGCTAATGGAGAGAACACAGCAGTTGTTGTTGTTCCATCAGCTCCCAGTGAGATCCTCACATCTCAAGAGACTTTTTTACTCTTGGCTTTCAGACAGTTTCATCTGCCGGGACAGACTGATGGGTGTTCTCTGCTCATGAAGCTGCTCCAGCATTGCATAAGAAGAATTCACCGTGAATTTGAAGTTATCTCACGTTCTTATTGTTTTTTGTTGTTGTTGTTGTTGTTTGTTTGTTTAAATGTGCAACTGGGACTGCTCTTCCTTCAGAGCGGCTGTTGTCAATGATGGGTGCCTCACTGTGTTCTTGTGGGAATTGTCCATCGCCAATGACTACAAGCTATAACAATACATTTAGGTGAAATTTACTACCAATTTAAAACTTCACATTGTCCTTCTTGACTCCAATTATGTTGAAATCTAACAAATAAATATTTTACAGGGAAATCTTTACCAACGTTAGTCTGAGGAAACTGTCAGCTTGCTTCACTTTGGGCTTTAATTGGAGATCTGAATTATGTGTCTCTTAACTTCCACTTAAAGAGTTTGTTGTTCATTGGTAAAAAAAAAAGAAGAAATCTCTCAACCTTAGTTGCAACTAAACAGACACAGATGAAAGATACTAGTTAAAGAACAAAAAAAAAAACTTTTTTGACTGAAATGTGTTAATTTTAGTCATTTTGTTTAAGTCATACAAAGTGATGAAGGAAAGAATTGCAATTATTATCAATAATTAAATGTGTCCTCTGAATTCACCCCATCAACCCACTCCTGGGGACCAGCAACCACCCGACTATTATTTATTCCCAGAAACCCAATTGCAATCTTTCTCTCAAAAGCACAGAGGCCACAAGGCATCCTGTGTGTGCCCAGGTATTAATGGTGTGTCCCCCCGGGACCACTGCTCAGTATAAATAAAAGTTTCAGGCTGACGTTGACAGAAGGGACCTGTCTTGAATATTACCTGGCTGCCAGTCCCAGAATTCTCTGTTCAGTCTCTTAATGGACAATGTGAAATTATGACCATATTCTGACATTTGGCAATTAATTCAAGCCGGATGGATGCAGTTTTTTTCCCAACATTGTTTTGAAAACAGTCAAAAACCTAGACCAGTGACCATCAACTGGCGGCCTGCAGGCCCACTGAAGGGCCAGCGACGGGATTCCAAAAAAAAAACATCATATAATGATGTTAGACAAAAAATGTATTTTAATTTCATTTTATGTCTGCCCCCCGAGGTGTCGGTCTGAAAAAATTCTGGCCAAACGGACAAATGTAGTTGGTGCCTCCTGACCTGTCTGTCAAACTGACGTGGTAGAAATCAAACCCTTAAAGCATAGACTAAATTGCATCAGGTGTGTCTAATATCAAATTGTATTATGCATGTGTATGTCTGTGGGCGAGTATGTGTGTGTGTGTCTTTATCTGCACACTAAAGTTTCTGCACCTTTTGTTTTTAGCAGCTAGGGAATTAAATTAAGAGGAAATATATTAATGATTCTGTTACAGCAGTCTGAGTGTGGCTAAAGGTCAGGCTACAACAGCATTCATTTTCTATAATTATTGCTATGCAAGTCTTCACTAATCCCAATAATGTGTGGCTGTGCTGCTCAGGTTAGAGTCACCGACTCGGACCCTCACCCTCGAGGCCCCCAGAGGCGTGGAGATAAATGCTGGTGTGGGAGACTTCACAGCATCATGTCGGAAAGACCTGCTGCTGCAGTCGTCAGAGGGAGAGGTGAGTGTTTGTTGTTCTCCCAGGGTAACAGGGACAACACAGCGGAGGGAAACTAATGCAGCACACTGGTGTGTGTGCATCAGTGGGTGTGAGAGTGGATTCTGTGATGGTTGAAAGTGTGTGAAATAAGTTACTTTATTCAATTACTTTATTAGGATAATGAGCGTCATCAATCCAGGCGACCTTGGAAGAAGTGACTTCATTGAAGCTGCTCTGATTTGGTTCAGTGTTATTTTTCTGTCTGACTGCATGTGACTGCCTGTTTGAGTGACTCTGTGTGTGTGTGTGTGTGTGTGTGTGTGTGTGTCCGTGTCCATGGGTATGTTATCGTGATATTTACTTCACTCTACTGCTGCTGTCGAAGCTCTTTACATCAGCCACCCTGCTACTGCAGTGATGGTAATGAGCTCAGTAAAAGAGAGAGATGTGTGTGGTGTAGAAAGTACTCCAAGTACTCCAAGATTTTTAACAGAAATGGAATCCTGCTTTAAAATTTGCCCTAAAGATTAAAAGAAATAATGTGTTGTAAAAAAGGGTTTGGTCTGCAGAGTCCAGTACAGTTCTTCTTCTTTCGACTGTTAGATCATGACATTAGGGTTTAATGACGGATTGTGAGTGAACCTGGTGTTTGACCTTCATTCAGAAGAGGCTTAAAGGTGTGAGAGGTGACAGACAGAGTAAGTCTGCCTTGAAAAATATCACAGGTTGGTAACCTGAGATATTTTTCAAGGCGCTAATATGCCATTTTTACATGTGTAAGGGACATTGTATATATTTTTGACATATATTAAGGTTATTTAATGTTACTTTACTCTGTTCACTGATACAATGTGCAATTTCTTTTCTTCAAAAATGGTTTTCTCAGGTGAAAGCCCTGAGGAGCTTGAACGACAGTATAGAAATAATGCACAGCTGACTTCATTTTTATATCTGTGTCAATGGCCAAAGGAACCTTGGGACTTAGTTTTTATGTGGCACATCATCGTTACAGCGTTGGAACTTTAAAGCAGAAAAATTGTTGTAATGACATAAAATATACTTGAGGACATTAAGAGCTCCATAAAGGGCTAAAGATACCAACTTATCCCACTTAATGATCACAGCGCACGTACGAAAGGACAGTCAACGTGGCTGTAAAAGGGACAAGGACTGGACAATAACACTTAGATCTAAGGTTACGGCATGATTAATTTGAGGAAACGAAACCCCTCCCTGTCCCCTAACACTCCTTTTACACATATCTTTGACTACATGTCTTCACACTTGTGTCCTAGACAACCAACCTGTCTGGCATCCTTTTTTTTTTTTCTTCTTCTTTTTTTTTACGGGAATACAGTCAGACAGGCTGGAGGAAGTCCGGGACCATAAACTCCCAAGGGCATACTTGGTTTTAGTGAATGGGCACCATCCCAAATGACAGTTTGTGTGAAGTGAAAATCACCTGAGCCTGCAGGTCTGTCTTCTTTGTTTACCTCATCCTCATGTTCCCTGTAATGCACTTAGGCAATGGAGCAGACACCCAGTTCCCGATGGCCGGCAGTGCACATGACATGTTTAAGTGTGTCCCAGAGTTATGGGCATGGAGTGACAGTGCCAGAGAGAGAAACCCGGCCTGTTGTTCTAATTTATGTGTTTGATTGTACAGTACCTGGAGTCAAGACAAGTGCAGACACACAGTATTGTTTTAGCAGGGCCTGTTGCCTGACACCGAAACTCCATTTTTAATTTATTGTTCGCCCATGTTTTGACTTGTCTGTCTTCATCACACATTATTTTCTGATTCCTCCTTCTCTTTTGCCTCTTCTGAACTGAGCCTCCATTCCAGTCCTTCATCTCTAAGCAACCCTGCCTCTCTCATTAATTTTGAGTACCAGGGTTATACATCACGGAGGCTGTCACTTCATGGGGTTATTATGATTCCTACCTCTTTGCTGTCGTGTTTCTCTTCTTCTTGTGTTCTTCCTGCTCCCTTTTCATGATCATCATTTACAACCACCCCTCCGTGTCTCCCTGTCTCACCCTTTCTCCGGCTCTCCATACATCTTTCTGTCTCGTCCTGTCATCCCCGTATAAATAAATGTCTTCCTTTTGATGCCGAACAATAGTGCTGAGCCATGTGTAACGATGATAATGCTGTGGGGCTTTGACACGGCTGTGAAAAGCTGGAGAAGATAAAGGACTTGCCTCTTAACCTTATCACCCTTTAGTGCTGCACTGAAGAACACAGTAAAAGAATCTATTTTCAATAAGGTACAACTTTATAAACGCCATAAAAACTTATCAGCAGCCTAAAGCTGAAGCCTGAATATTCAGGGATGCACAGGCAATTATAGAACCCTAAAGGAAACGTGCATGATTTTAAGGCACAGTCATGTGATAAATGTATATAACCTCTTTAATAGGAGAGTGATATGAACAGAAAATATGTCCCAGATGATAAATACTGAGGAGCTTTTTACCCCTATTTCAAGATTGTGGTCACAGTGTTGCTTATGTACACAGTACGCAGTTAAGTTTGACAGATGTATTAACTAGTACAATATTATGCTTTAAGAAAAATGAAGGTCTTTATTTTTAAATGTTGCAAGTAACAAATACAGTTTGTATTCATGAATTTGCAGGTTGGACATTAGTTCTAATGACGGATTGTAAGTGAAGTGTGAGGTCTATCTGTCTCCCTTTCCTCCTGTGTGTGGAGTTGATTACTTCTGTCACACTCACCTGTGTCTCTGTCATTAGTCTCACTGGTGTCACCTGGTGCTCTGGGTATATATACCTCTCTCCCTCATGCTGTCTTTGTGGGATTGGTGTGATTGTGTGGTGTGGTTATATGATGGTGTTCATGCCTCAAACTACTGCTCTTTGTTCCTGTGAGTTTTGTGATTTTTGCATTTTGTGGTCCTGCCTGTTTTCTCTCTGTGGCCTTACGTAACATGAACTGATCTTTGGGCTTCATGTAGAGAAGATGTAAAGATGTGAGAGTTGACAAAAGGAGACATAGAGACATTTGGAAATTCTACATCTTTTTCTTCTACGTATGGCTTCTCTCTTCAGGGGTCACCACAGCATATCACCTCCATCTCACCCTATCACCTGCCTGCTCTTCTTTCACACCAAAGAGCTCTATCTCCTCTTTGACTAAAAGTCTCTGAGATCTTCCTCTTCTCCTCTCACCTGGGAACTTAATCTCTAACCTCCTTTGTGTGATATACTCAGTATCTCTCCTCAACACATGCCTCTACCATCTCCACAACCATCTGCTCATTTCTAATCCAGTCCAGCCTGGTCACTCTGTGAAAAACTCAGCGTCTGCATCTCTTCACCTCCTCCAACTCAGCCTTCTGTCTATTAGACAGAAATACTGTATCCAATCTATGCATCATAGCAGGTCTCACTACTGGCTTGGACATTTTTATCTACAAAACAAAATACAGGATTTCAGATTAATGTATTTTCTTCAATTAATTCTGGTTCTGCTTTTATAATGAAATTCACTCATGTTGGAAATATAACTGGACCATTACCACATACACTCGTGCTGGTACGTGTACAATGGAAAAACAAGGAAACAATTCATCAAATAATCCTACAATAACATGCCACTGCTGTTTTGTAATGTATCAGGAATTACTGCGCATCTTTTTAAA